GAGCCAGGTTTAATCCCCTGCATCAAATTGTGTCGTTTCATCAAGAGACACATTCGTCAGTTTGTTGAAATGTGAGGGTCCAGAGAGCTGTTGGTAAATAAGCTTGACTTGGTCTTGATTATATACGAAACATGACAATAAAAGGTATTTCAATTAATTGTGTTAGTCAATTAATTTAACGCTAAAATAAAATATTCCAACACCAAAACTTAACCAGTTAAATCAAACCTATGCTAAAACTTATCAGGTAGAATTTCAGTGTAAACTCATAAATCAGTGAGATTTTATGTACAAAACTTTTCACAAACATAAAACCTTAAATTTGGTGCTTTTTTTGTCCAAACAGAGGTGACATGGTGGCTACTGCTGAAGCCACAGCTGCCTGAGACAGACTGGCAGACGCAATACTGCTAATAGGGCTAATAGTCAATAGCACTCTTGCTTCTCCTGGGTCCTGGGTTTGAATCCCGATCAAAACAGCGCCTTTCTGAGTGGAGTTTGCTCGTTCTCCCTGTGTCTGCATAGGTTTCCTCCATGTGCGCCGGTTTCCCCTACCACTAAAAACATGCATAAGAGGTATGAATGTAAATGAGTGAATGAATGGATGGTGTTGATTGGAGGCTGGATGGATTGATACGCTTCCGTCATTACAGTGTGTGGAATGATTGGAACAATATCTGAAATTTGTAAAGCGCTTTTGGTGACTTTGGACTGTAAAATGTGCTACATAAATAAACATTACTTACTTACTTACTTACTAATCAAACCACCACTAGTGATCCACACACCAGAACACGAATGGTGCTCTAAAGTTTTCACTTCAGAGCCTCGCTGCTCCACATCTTGTAAAACAAAGGTCTCCCATCACAGTACTGCCTAGCCCCTGCACTGATCACACATCAGGCTTTGACAAACAGATAGCATTACAAAAAGTTCTTATTGGTCCCTGAAACGAGGGTCGACAGTTGGATAATACATGATGTCACAGTCATTATCTTATTGGTTAATACTTTTTGTCAGAATGAGTTGATTCATCAGTGCAGCTTGAGTCATCTTTAACTCATTTATACAGAGATCCCCCAGACTTTACCACCTGCTACTGTAACTGTAACTGCGGTACTTTTAGTGATGTACTTCCTTACATTGAGCTTGTCTTAATGCTTGTGTAGGAGAACAGGTCGTGGGAAAAATGGCGCCGTGGCCTGGTGCACACTGGGGTAGTCTTGCACAGTTTTTCCAATGTGGTTTTACTGCAAATGGCAAGTACATTCTTCAGTCTTGAATGTATTTGCAATTTCTATAGAAAAACATATGTGGAGAACATGTTCAGCAACACATTTTTTAACGAATAGGTCATTTGTTATTGTTTGCTGAGGGTTAATTTAGACAGTGTTAACTCAGCTCATCCACTGAAGTCTTAAACAGTTTGAAATATCAACATAATAAATGAAACCTAAGTATCTACTATAAAACTGCATATAACAGATCTATGGGTTGAATGCAGCTCTTTGTGTATTTGCCAAATTTAGATCAAGCGAAGCGCGAGGGTTTTCAACTTGCACCTACTTTCATCTGTGCTCAGAACATGACTGAGCCTCACACGCTGCTTCTCTAGCTCTAATATTTTTATCATGGGGAATTCCTGCCTTCACCTCAAAGCCTTCCCCTCCGAACGAAACCTTCTTCATATGTGGCCCATAAAAAACCATAGAGAAGAGCTGGAGATAGGTATTTAAGTCATATTTCGGAGATATGTGTCTGCCTTTGAGTCACGTTGCCATGGTGACGCTATAGAACGCAATAATAGATAGTTACGGGAGACAATAAAATAGCTATGTATTTTTTATGGTGGGTTTGTTGTTAGTCGCTCCTTGTGAACAACACAACGTCAGAACTGGGGTTGAGAATAGAACTGCTTTGGTCAACTAAAGATACTCCTGGTCGATTGATTGGTCAACTCAAAAAGGGGCGGGACAAAAGCTCAAAACTCAAAACTCTTACAGAGACCCACTTTAACACTGATAAAACCTGTTGCTATTCAGTTTTTTCTTTCTTAAAGGGACAGTAAATAATATTTTGATTTTGAATTACATCTACACCTTTTTGTGTCCCCAGATAAGATAAAATGTCAACACGTACACATCAAATTTAACCCTTTCTGAACCAAAGCAGTAGTTATTATTAAAGGTATTGCGGGAGATGTTTCTACCAATTATAAATGTAGAAAAGAGCGACACAGGAGTGGATAGCATTCTCGCTTTTCAGCCAGAAAGTCCTGCGTTCGAATCCCGGTCGGAACAGGGCCTTTCTGAGTGTTTACATGTTCTCCACGTGTCTGTGTAGGTTTCCTCCGGGTGCTCCGATTTCCCATACCACTAAAAACATGCACAATAGACATGAATGTAATGAGTGTCTGAATTAATGGTGTTGATTGGGAGCTTCCGTCATCACTGTGTGTAGAGTGATTGGAGCATTATCTGAACACTGTAAAGCAATGTAAAGCGCTTTGGTCTGTAAAAATGTGCTATATAAATAAATATTATTGACTAACGTGTAAAAAAAAATTAATTGTTTTTTTCATTGTGTGTCTCACCTTTTGCCAGCGGAACCCAGTCTAAGTAGCAGCTAGCACTGTGTTTTTTTTTTTGTTTTTTTTTATTTTGGCAAAAATTGAAGTGCTGCAAAAGCAAAAAACTTCCTTGTGGTTCATTAAGAAGAAGTGAAAAGTGAAAGTTATAGAAAACCTGCATAACCTGCACTAGACCAAAGACAAGAAAGGATCAATAGAAGGTGGAAAAAGAGTGGTGGAACGTCCGGGAAAATCTTTCATTTAACATTTATCTAAAACCTTTATCCATAGCCACGATGTCCATAATATTTATTTTGATTTTCAAGCAGATTATTCAATCAGAGAGCAGAATGAATCTTTCATTCGTCTCACCTTTTTGTTTGGTGAAATGTTGTTGGTTTTTGGTTTCACCATGAAAGCAGATGCAAAAAATAAGTAGTCATACATAATACACAGAATTTGTATCACTTCTAGCTAAACAAGAATGCTTATAGGATATTTCGTAGTTAAGATTCCCAGATTTGGGGAATTCACAAAAAGGTCAACACAACCCGCAATGGATTTAAAATAGAATTGTTTGTTCCATATCTGCGATTTTTTTACATGTTCTCATTAAAACACTTTGATTAACTATTACATTGTTTGGTTGATTAGTCGGAATAAAGAAAATATAGTCTCTTTTGACTGTTCACAATAGTCAAGAGAATAGGATATCTTAGATTGAAGATTCAAGAATTTGTTTGCCATTTGCAGTAAAACCACATTGGAAAAACTGTGCAAAACTACCCCAGTGTGCAGCAGACAGAGGTTCTTCTGAAATATCGCAATCATTTCAAAATCTGCATGTGATTCTCTCTTGTATCTGCTTCCGGGTTGATAGGGACTTTTTTCAAACTGGATCCCCTCCTTCTGGCCATGTGATTGAGCAGAGGTGATCATTTTAGGGGAAGTAAATTTGCAGAGGAAAAGAAGTTGTGAAATAGGATGCACAAGTTCTCAAAAAAACGACATTCAATCAAATAATCTAATCCAGCTGTGAAATTGTGATATCATAACATCATGAGCCAAGAACAATGTCTTAAAACGTGCCGGACCCTACGATACCCATCACTACTCTAAACTCGTACTAAACTATACGATTTGTTATTGAAGGCCATAGTACTCAAGTCATTCAAACATTATATGCACTCAAATTCTTCTCTTCCATAATGTGATTAAATTCTTGAAAATAACCTACAAAACAAAAATCAACTTGACAGCCATGAGTTCAAGGCCAAAATGAGAAACGCCGCGTACATATTGTCCTTCTTATCCGGGAGCATCTACAAAACAAGAAGTTGTCCATTGATCACCATAATGCAGTTGTCATGACATTCTCTGGCCCAGACAGGACCTTGGGATAAGTTTTGTCTTCCTGTTTGACCTTAAATGGGGTTAAGCGATGCCAATCTCTGTAATCATGCATCATTGTCTCTCCCTATATTTGTACAAAACTTCACCTTTGCCATAACCACACATCTCTCAACACATATATCGCAAGTGCACAGTGGCTAATGGGTTGGACATCTGGGCACGCTTCGACACACTTGCACCAATGTGGGATTAGAGGAGCCTGCAGCCATCCATTCATTCAAGTTAATGAGCAAAATAACAGTTATTATTACATTTTTGCGAGAAGAGCCCAGCCATTACAGAGCAGACGGGGGAACGCGTGGGCTCCTGCTGCTGCTGCTGTTGTAGGCGCGCACATTTGGGCAGGTGCACCGACTTCAAAGAGTAAATACGTTGGTCTAGTTTAGCTGTGATCTGAGTTGATTAAAAGAAAGCACAAAGACAGCCAGATCGAGACTATATTCATGTGCTCACGTCTTTTGAAGTTTCGGGGTTTGGTTTTTGCTACAGTGCGTCATGCGTCGGGTTAGATTGAAAATAGCCTCAAAATCTCCAAGACAATAGTATCTAACGTCCACTTTCAGAATAATAGGGTCAGGCGTGCATTGCTACGTCAAAGAAACAATAATTCTCCCACAGTGCTGTTTCCATTTTTAAAACATTTCCTGCTATTGTAAACTTACAATGTCCCCAAACTATGCGTGTACACATAGTTAACTTTAATGGAAGCTCCATAGTGTGTGTGCCCAGGGCTTATAAAAACTCATAATGACTCCTTTTGTGCGCGGAGTTTACGAGACAAGTTGATGAATTTTGTTATCGTTTTCTGAATACCTATGAAGAACATTTAGCTATAAAACCACACGAAAGCAAATACACGCCTTTAAAAACACCAGCTTTTCTCTCAACTGGAAGATCCACCACGTCGCGCGCCGCCTGCATCGCGCCCCAAGCCCAAATGGAGATATATAGGACCCCTAAGTCACAGATGATGGGCATGTGTCAGTCTGAGGGAGGGGGGGATGCCCAGAACACTCACCTCTGCGTCGCCAAAGCGTAGACACGCCGCCGTCACGAGCAGCAGCGTCAGCCACATCTTGCAGGGCAGCCCCGAGCAGCTGCGGACCGGGCATTTAGGGAGCGCGGGGGTTGACGGCAGGGGCCTATACTCCACAGCGGAGGCAGCCAAATAACGACTTAGTGTGAGAGTCTTGTCAATAAAGTTAAGTTTAAAAAATCCACTTCTACGGCATTGTTAAAACGTGAACAAGAAATGCAGGAGGGAGAGATGGTGGTGGTGGTGTTACATCCCCGGGTATTGGCCGGTCCAAGCGGTGATGGAGAGAAAAAAGTTATTCCAATGTCTTTTCCTTTGAGTAGTTTCCAAGTCCAGCCGTGTGAATGTTGAATAAAAATAGAAAATTGTAATAAAAAAGAAGTGTAGAAGAGGAAGTGGTGAGGCGGTTGAATAATGCGCCCTGTCTTATTTCCTCGGAGCCTTATCACTGACAGAGCGCAGTGCGAAGAGAGCGCTGGATCGGTCTGATTACACTGCGCTGAAGTCCAACTACTGCTGCTGTTGCTGCTTCTGAGAGGCGCTGTTACTGCCGCTGCTGGTCGTGTGAGGGGAAGAGCACGTTTCCAAAGTCTCTCGTGTGAGCGTCTGGTGCTGTGTGCGTGCGTAATCTCCCGCCCCCCGCCTGAAGAATGGATGATAATGGCATCACAGGTCTTATGAGGCGCATGTTCCTGACGCACAGCCAAGGAAAGTTAGTTTGTTTGGGAGTGGGGGCTTGTCCACATTATCTTTCTGCAAGATTGTTAAAACGTATAGAATGGAATGCAATGCTTCGGACGCGTCTATGATAAAAACGGGCGCACCTCTGAATATGCTTTATTCCTGCTTTTGAGAGTCAATGGTTGATGGTACGAGGGGCGGGTGTGGGTCACAATGACACCGAAATATCATCTGATTCGTGAGTACGTGCTTATGTCCCAATATATTGCTATTGATGTTTAAACAGACAGTTTTATAGATGCGCTCCCCCTATCGGTCAGCTGCTGTAAGGCTCAGAGTGATTTAACCAATTACAGTAAAGTGTGAACTTATTGAGCCGAAATCCAGTGGAGCCAGCCGCAAGTGAAAGCAAATATAAGCAACGGACCTCAGAAGCTAAGCAGTGCATGGCCTGTTAGGTACTGTGATGAGAGACCTTTGGGAATATAAAGTGCTAAACCGTGGTTGTGTCCTTAGATGAGACACTTAACCCACATTGCCAAGTATAGGTGTATGTATGAATGAGTTGTGGTGGTTGGCCGGGTATGCCAAGCTTCTGTCAGCCTGCTCTAAGGCAGATGTGGCTACAGCAGTCTTTTGGTGTCATGAAGAGCACAATATGAGTTCAATACATTGAACAACATCTTACTGTGGTCTGGCATCACTAAAGGAAGTTAACACTTTCCACATAACTGTCAATTATGTCCATCCATCCATCCATCCATCCATTTTCTACCCTTTAATCCATTTCTGGGTCAGGGGGGTGGCAGTCAGAGATGCCACCCAAGTCATTGTATTTCTGAGAGTGTTGTCTATCCGCAGACTTCACCTCAGTATATGAAACCCCATGACTCACTTTTTTGTCTTCAATAGATGACATATACTGTGGAACACAGGAAAGTTGTAAAGCACCTTCAAGACCTGGTGATTTGTGTGTCTTTGTAAGCTCCATACAGTACTGTGGATTTCAAGTTTCAAGAATTTATTTGCCATTTGCAGTAAAACCACATTGGAAAAACTATGCAAGACTACCCCAGTGTGCGCCAGAGTACACATCAGAGCTCCCGCCACGGGGCAATAAATAACATACAAACAGTATATCGATTGGGGTCTAGCTGAATGTGTTTCCCCTTCCAGCTGATAGACAAGGCCTACATACAGTATTTTAATTCCTTTGTATTCCAATTAATATAGTCAGTTAAATATACGTTTTTCTTCTTTTCTTCTTAGATCAACGTCAACAATGTCCCAAAGCAAGCAAGAGTCGGAACTCAAAATTCTCTGGAAGAATGAAAGGCTAAGGTAATGACTTTATACCGTTTATTACTCATAATGTGAATCTGAATGTCCTGCTTACAGTTTTAAATATAAAGGCCTTCTCATGTCACTGGCTCATGCTCCGGCACGTCACGTACAATTCCAATTTCTTTTGAACTTTGAGCCCTCACCTAAAACTCCCTGACTCCAGCAGAGCAGATACAGCTTCGTAAATAGCAAAGCTCAAAGAACATTAACACTGAGCTCAGACCAAATTAAACGTGACATTAATATACTTACTAAAACTGGACTGGTCACACGGGTAGTTGCCATGCCAACTGACTCCTCTCATTACATCAGCATCACCCCGAGCCAGACTTTCAGGAAACAAAAGGTGCTTCAAAATATCACTGGGGTTATTCTGGGCGCCCTGACCTTTCCGCGGTCGCTTTTGTTTGGGGGACATTTTTAAACAATGCCATACCATGACTGCACAAGATTTGACTCAGCAAATGCAAGCTGATAATAAAAGTATGAAGAGCAAAGTCTGGTTTTTCTAAAGATCAGACATGATACGAGTATTATGTAACATATTTGTCAATAAAAAATAGAATTAGTACAATTACATACATGTCCAGGCTAATGACAAGTAAAGAATGTAAATAATTGGCTCATATTTTTAAGTTTGGGGATGGTATAAGTTACTTCTTCACTTCTATTTTACATTCAAAGTTATAAATCCTAGACAAACACAACAAAAAATACATCATCATTAAGACCCTGGTGCAGTCTTGTCCGCACTGTTCACCAAACAAGATAAATATGCACTTTATTTATCCCAATTCATCATCTGCATTTGATTCATCTTGATGCCACTAGGGCGTCTATCGGGAGAAGTGGTCGCCGTACAGCACCTGTGAATCATCTCCAGATGTTGATGCTTGGCTTGGTCGGCACCAACACAGCTGGAGGATTTATCTATTGTACAGAAATTATTTTAGTGGTAGGGTAAACCAGAGGAAACCTAGACCTCCCCTTTTTTAATCCTGCGACCTATAGAGAAATGTCAAAACAAATTGGTAAATACTGTAAAAACCTGCAAGTTTACAGCTATACTGTTAAAACCCTTGTCATTAAACATGTTGTGTTCAGGAACAACAGTGAAAACCTGCGGCTTATATTCAACTGCTGCCTATATGTGTTCAGCATGACTTTTGTTTCAAATGTTTCTGATCCGGTTTCTACACAGGTGCGCTTAACAGCAAGTACTATCTATAGATACATATACAAGCACCCACAGAGTATACCAAATCTACTCTATAATATCAAATTAACAAGTAGAAATACAACATCTTCGTTGAATGACAATTTTGTGTTTGTATTTTCCTTTTTTTATTGAATTGAAAAAGTGAGATGCCTTAAAACGATGCACTAACCCTAATGACAAATGGTTATCTTTAAATGTCACTTCATTTTAGAGCTCAGTGTTCCTTCCTGTGTATTTTTCATCTTATTCATCAACTTGTTATTCCTCAGACTGCGATAGATTTCTTTTTATTACAAATCCATCCATCCAATTTCTTCCCCTTAACCCATTTCTGGTTTGGGGGGGTTGCAGACAGAGCTGCATCCAGAACACAGAGCACCAGCCCCTCACTGATCCTTCTGCAGGTGGTGAGTCCTTGATTATTCAGCGGCGGCTTCAGGCAAAGTGGGGTTAAGTGTCTTGCCCAAGGACACAACGACAGTAATCATCAGTGGGAGTCGTGAAGTAGGTCTTGTGATGGGCTTGAACCCACAACCTTCAGGCTCTGAGCCTCTGTCGCTCCCAACAGCCACTGTCGCCCCAACTTAAATTTATTACAAATATTCAACCCAATTACAACCCTAATTCTCCAACCCTGTAGTAAGAAAGACACTCAGAAACCCAGAGGAATGTCACCCTCTGTCTGAAACCTGTGAGTTCAGCTAAGCTTTGGTGAATAATAGGATGCTATTGTTTTCCTAACAAGAGTCACAGAGGAAACTGAGTGAGCTATATTTATCCACAAATTCATATTCTCATGTCTGACCATGGACGTGCGCACAAGCAGACAGCTCACAGCACATCACATACTGCTTAAGTAACAGAAATCCCACTCATTTACACTACAAATACTTGGCTGACAACAAAAGGAGGCGTTTAAATTCCCCTCCTTCCAAATGGAAATGCCTTCCATCTTAGTTATCATATACGTCTTGCCAGTTTTATGACAGAGAAACGTGTCAAAACGTATTCTATTCCCCGCTCAGGTTGTGCTTCCCAAAACAGGAGCGTATCTAAGGAGCCAATGGAGACGGAAGGCAGATGAAGAGGAGGGGTCCATCCCGCTCCACTGGAGGTAGGGGCTTTCCCACTCCAATCTGCTCTCACCACATAACTTTATAGACACTTTTCTGTCACCTGTGATCGCAATATCAATGGAGCTGCTATGTTACTTACTGTGTGTTTCAAAGTAGTTTCCCCACAGACAGACAAACCCCCACACAGTGTCAAAGTTATAAGTGTTTTGCTGTGTAGTGGTAGTGAGCCTGCACTGGTATTGACACCTTTATTATTGGCAGTCATTAATGCACTGTTTACAAGCGGCGAGGGAGCATCTCTGACTGTATACAGGGGAAGGAGAAGGAGAAGTGGGAAGGAGGAGAAACGCAGATGTGAATTTAGATATGTGTGGTGTAACTTTTCCGCTGGAGAGTCCCACGACCGCTCATGAGAGAAAGATTGTAAAAGATCAGCGATAAATCATACTGTAGGTACAATAATGGATCACCAACTGATAATATTTGATCTTGGTGTAATGCCTGGGTCTTAATTGTAACTGGGAAGCCAAAAATATTGCATTACAAAGAGCAGGGAATCTCCATTAGGGTTATGTGGGGTTGTACACAGGTAATTGAAATTTGTATCAAGGATTAATGATGATCGTAATGCACAATACTTAGACTGACGGAGGGAGGCTACTGATCTGTGCCATCGGCCCCTCTGACCACCACCGACCATTCACACAAATATGCACACACACACACACATACATATCCTAGCCTACACAACATGAGGGCTAATATGATCTGTTAAGAATAATTCTAAAGCTAAAATGTCTCTAATATAAGAGTATATATGTTGTGGATAGTGCTTGTGCCTCACGGAAAGACGGTCCTGAGTTCGACTCTACCTTCAGACCTTTCCCAGATAGCAAGCGGATGTGGGCCACATGTGGCAAACATGTGGGTCACATGGCATTGTTACGGCCCAAATGAAACAGATGTCAGCCAGATGTGGGCCACATCCTGCCTACCATATGTGGCCCAAATATAGCAAATCAAACATGGGCCACATGTGGCAAATATGTGGCAGTTCTGTAAATGAAAAATGGTGGATGAAACAGATGTCAGCCAGATGTGGGCCACATCCTGCATACTATATGTGGCCCAAATATAGCAAATCAAACATGGGCCACATGTGGCAAATATATGGCAGTTCTGTAAATGAAAAATGGTGGATGAAACAGATGTCAGCCAGATGTGGGCCACATCCTGCATACTCTTTGTGGCCCAAATATAGCAAATCAAACATGGGCCACATGTGGCAAATATATGGCAGTTCTGTAAATGAAAAATGGTGGATGAAACAGATGTCAGCCAGATGTGGGCCACATCCTGCCTACCATATGTAGCCCAAATATAGCAAATCAAACATGGGCCACATGTGGCAAATATGTGGCAGTTCTGTAAATGAAAAATGGTGGATGAAACAGATGTCAGCCAGATGTGGGCCATATCCTGCCTACCATATGTGGCCCAAATATAGCAAATCAAACATGGGCCACATGTGGCAAATATGTGGCAGGTTCTGTAAATGAAAAATGGTGGATGAAACCAATGTCAGCCAGATGTGGGCCACATCCTGCCTACCATATGTGGCCGAAATATAGCAAATCAAACATGGGCCACATGTGGCAAATATATGGCAGTTCTGTAAATGAAAAATGGTGGATGAAACAGATGTCAGCCAGATGTGGGCCACATCCTGCATATTATATGTGGCCCAAATATAGCAAATCAAACATGGGCCACATGTGGCAAATATGTGGCAGTTCTGTAAATGAAAAATGGTGGATGAAACAGATGTCAGCCAGATGTGGGCCACATCCTGCCTACCATATGTGGCCCAAATATAGCAAATCAAACATGGGCCACATGTGGCAAATATATGGCAGTTCTGTAAATGAAAAATGGTGGATGAAACAGATGTCAGCCAGATGTGGGCCACATCCTGCCTACCATATGTGGCCCAAATATAGCAAATCAAACATGGGCCACATGTGGCAAATATGTGGCAGTTCTGTAAATGAAAAATGGTGGATGAAACAGATGTCAGCCAGATGTGGGCCACATCCTGCATACTATATGTGGCCCAAATATAGCAAATCAAACATGGGCCACATGTGGCCAATATATGGCAGTTCTGTAAATGAAAAATGGTGGATGAAACAAATGTCAGCCAGATGTGGGCCACATCCTGCCTACCATATGTGGCCCAAATATAGCAAATCAAACATGGGCCACATGTGGCAAATATGTGGCAGGTTCTGTAAATGAAAAATGGTGGATGAAACAGATGTCAGCCAGATGTGGGCCACATCCTGCCTACCATATGTGGCCCAAATATAGCAAATCAAACATGGGCCACATGTGGCAAATATGTGGCAGTTCTGTAAATGAAAAATGGTGGATGAAACAGATGTCAGCCAGATGTGGGCCACATCCTGCATACTATATGTGGCCCAAATATAGCAAATCAAACATGGGCCACATGTGGCAAATATGTGGCAGGTTCTGTAAATGAAAAATGGTGGATGAAACCGATGTCAGCCAGATGTGGGCCACATCCTGCCTACCATATGTGGCCCAAATATAGCAAATCAAACATGGGCCACATGTGGCAAATATATGGCAGTTCTGTAAATGAAAAATGGTGGATGAAACAGATGTCAGCCAGATGTGGGCCACATCCTGCATACTATATGTGGCCCAAATATAGCAAATCAAACATGGGCCACATGTGGCAAATATGTGGCAGTTCTGTAAATGAAAAATGGTGGATGAAACAGATGTCAGCCAGATGTGGGCCACATCCTGCATACTATATGTGGCCCAAATATAGCAAATCAAACATGGGCCACATGTGGCCAATATATGGCAGTTCTGTAAATGAAAAATGGTGGATGAAACAGATGTCAGCCAGATGTGGGCCACATCCTGCCTACCATATGTGGCCCAAATATAGCAAATCAAACATGGGCCACATGTGGCAAATATGTGGCAGGTTCTGTAAATGAAAAATGGTGGATGAAACAAATGTCAGCCACATGTGGGCCACATCCTGCATACTATATGTGGCCCAAATATAGCAAATCAAACATGGGCCACATGTGGCAAATATGTGGCAGGTTCTGTAAATGAAAAATGGTGGATGAAACAGATGTCAGCCAGATGTGGGCCACATCCTGCATACTATATGTGGCCCAAATATAGCAAATCAAACATGGGCCACATGTGGCAAATATGTGGCAGTTCTGTAAATGAAAAATGGTGGATGAAACAGATGTCAGCCAGATGTGGGCCACATCCTGCATACTATATGTGGCCCAAATATAGCAAATCAAACATGGGCCACATGTGGCAAATATGTGGCAGGTTCTGTAAATGAAAAATGGTGGATGAAACAGATGTCAGCCACATGTGGGCCACATCCTGCCTACCATATGTGGCCCAAATATAGCAAATAAAACATGGGCCACATGTGGCAAATATGTGGCAGTTCTGTAAATGAAAAATGGTGGATGAAACAGATGTCAGCCAGATGTGGGCCACATCCTGCATACTATAAGTGGCCTAAAAACAAACATAATTGGGAATTTGTGGCAAATTTCCAGCAAATCTTGGATGCCAGAAGATCCCTGTCTTCATGTCTGTTGTATTGTTGCCATTTTGTTTTATTTTCTAATCAACACAATGGTTGTTTTTGGGTTATCATTTATTGATAGACCTTTCTAATATGGTATTACTTATTTTTTTGTGTTATCTTGTTCCACGATAACACAAAAAAGTGATAAAATGTTGTGTTGTTATATACAGATTATATTATTGATTTGTTCTCATATGTATCAAGGTTTATTACGAGGAATGGCGGAAAAAGCCCAGAGAAAAAAAAAAACTTTTAGTAGCCGCGCAGCTTGTGCCCAGATGCATTCAAAACTAGTCGAAAACTGGTTAAATTCATTAATATTACAGGTCAATTTTGTTTTAGCCTAGCTTTAAGTTAATAACTATTTTGTCAATTTTAGAGCTGGATAATGTTTATTTATTTGATACTTTTAGCATTTCCTTAACATTTAGTGTGTGACCTAAAGAGGGCGCCATAGAACCACCCATTTGTAAGTCCCATTGTTGCAAAACATAATTGTAATAATTTATCCCGTTATCGTACATTCATACATACATAGTCACGTCTCGTTGAACACATGTATTTATTGGTTAAACAAATAAAGGACAGTGAATCTAATCAAGAATTAAACTGTCTGTGTTTGCCTCATTTCCGTGTGCTTTTGAACGCATCTCTCCACCTCCGTCCCTCAAAGAGCGCGAATTTTGACAAACGCCGTTGTTCTGTCGAGTTGGTCTACCCGTCGAGATGATCTGGCTCAGCTGTTAATGATGTAATGCAAACCTGCGCATGCGCGTCTCACGGCAGCCGAAGCAATCCAAGATGGCGGACATGTAGTCCGCGAATTGCTTTAAAAGTTTAATACAAACGAATTAAGACACGAATGTCACTTTTAATGCAATTTGAGGCGAGATGTTGATGGTTCGACGTTGTGATATGTGTGTTTTAAGAGCAAGAGTTTCGTGTAAAATTTGTTTTAAGCAGTACACTGCTCCTGTGAAACTACACTGCTGCTGTGTGAGAGCAGTCATATTGACTCCTGTGGAACTACACTGCTGCTGTGTGAGAGCAGTCATATTGACTCCTGTGGAACTACACTGCTGCTGTGTGAGAGCAGTCATATTGACTCCTGTGAAAACACATTGCTGCTGTGTGATCGGAGTCCCTGAGTTGACTGCTGCATACGTCAGGCCCTTTGACGCGTCCTGTGAATGGTCTGTCGGGTTGATAATGGAAAAAATAAATTACATTTTATGCATGTATCATACTGTATTCAATATGATTAATAATAGTGTGTTCAAACGAAATATTTAATTAGATTGTTTTTTTTCCCCATTCTGGCGGGTTGCTGCGCATGCGCAAGTCAGATTTGGGCACACGAGCAGTGTATTTTCACAGGATCAGTGGACTGCTTAAAGAAGCTATACCCGATTTTTTTTCTAAGTAGTTCATAAAAATGCTTTTTACTACATACAAGTTGTATCATAATACATCATTTAATTGAAAAAACTTGAGGTAATTGATTCAGCTGTGTAAGAATTACAAGCAGTGAAAAGTGCTGAGTAGAGTCTGAGCGGGCCGCTCTTTCTCCTCCACTCACAGAACGAGCAGCGAGCAGCCTGCGTCCTCTAGCCCCTACAGCGCTGCTCAACACCAGGGCTTCGACTTCAAAATTCGAATATAAATTCTAAAATAAAAAATGATGAACAAAATAATTGAATAAAAAAATGTGAACAAATATTAGACAACCCTTGTAATTCGAAATGTATTTAATGACTGCAAATAAAATAGTTAGCTCCCAAAGGTTTCACCGGGACGTGCTAGGCAGGTAACAGCTAAGCTAGCTAGCTGTTTCGTGGTAACTTCCGGGTTTTTCGCAATCGCTTTTTGTCACTTTGAAACAGTATTTTTGTTATGAAAAACGTTAACAGCAAATTCTGAAATCATCCGTGCATGTGTGTTAAGGATGTATATGTGTACTGTATTGTCCGATTGACGTTTAATGGTGTTGATTGATAGATATGTAGTTGTTTATTGAGCGTGGCTAGCTCCGCTAGCTTCTCTACACAGACAAGTGTGTAGTGACAGGTGCTGATAGCTTGTTGTACTTGCAGAGTAATGGCAGTATTTTACACACCTGAATTACAAACAGAGATTGCATTGGGGCTTCGGTCATTATTGGTTTGAGAGTTCTGTTATCAAGAAAAAATTATCGGAAGAATTGCTGCTGCTGCTTTGAGGAGCTCTATAACAAATTATAATTCAATATTAGAATATATTCTAAGGTTTTAAATTAATACATTCGGACGCAAAACTAGCGGTATTCTTTTACTTATATATTGTGTTAGCAGTGCGTTGCTTTAGTGCCATTTCATCGGTGATTGTTGCACAGCTTACAAGAAGTTGCGCTAATGCTAATGTTAGCATATGCATCAGATCGCAAATAAAACTAGGTGGCTCTGTGTTATGAGAGCGTAGGGGAAATAAGAAGCCATTGAGCGAGTTGGGGGGCGGTGCTAAACATTCAAACATTGCAGAAACGGGTATAGCGCCTTTAAAACAAACTTTACACGAAACTCTTACTCTTAAAACCGACATATCACAACGCGGAACCATCAACATCTTTCCTCAAATTGCATTAAAAGTGACATTCGTGTCTTAATTCGTTCGTATTTAACTTTTAGCAGCTTTGGCTGCCGTGAGACGCGCAGTGCTGGTTTGGCATTACATCATTAACAGCTGAGACAGATCATCTAGACAGGCAGACCAACTCGACAGAACACCGTTCGAACTGACCGCAACTGATCTCTGCTCTGATTCTGCTTCTCGAGTTCTGACAGACACTGACCAGACTGGTAGTTTCTTGTACTTCTTTTTTGGGTAAGTTAAAGCTGCACTAACTGGACTTTGGGATTTTGAAGCCGCGGACTCTCTCTTTCTGCTCCCCTCCCCGCACCCACGAAGCTATCGCCCCCCACACACACCCACTGTTGGGATGAAGCTAGGGTCTTCCAATATGGATAATACATTAATATGGATTTACACGTCACACAATCCGCGACCCGAAACACATTCTCTTCCTTGTTTCATCAAAACTCGATCTAAAATATAATGTCACTCCAGCACAAATCTGCGCTACTTTTTCTTCAAAAGGACGTATATTCCACTACATGGACATGGATAGCACTTTCGTAATGAATACGAAAATAAAGTCAGTTAATGCAGCTGGAGACGTTTTAATAATGATCATTATTAGGATGACCTAACGCTATAACCAGGTAGTTATACTTCGCTGTAGTGGCATTATCATAAAATGCAGAGTCAGCAAGAACACGTACAATAACTAGAAAACATACAATATTAGTTTCACATTTAAATGAACACCATTAAATCTTCTTCAACTCATACTGAAATACTGCAGCAAATAGCCAAAATAAAGTATGAATGATAAATTGATTATGTAATATTTGAAATGTTCAGTTATTCTTTTTATATATAAATATAACTGTCTAATAAGTAATATTTATGATTGCCATATGACTAATTATGATAATTATGCTTTACAGGTATTTTGTTGTTCCAGTCAAAAGGTACAGTTTTTTTGTCATTCTTACCATGTTAATCTTTAACTAGTAAAACTAATAATAAATGTTGCATTACATGCTGTGAATATTTTTCATTTGTTTATTTTTATTTTCTTTACAGAGTGGTTTGCTGAAACGCAAGTGGGCAACAAGACAGGTTTGCTTGGTTTTATGCAATGGAGAAAAAACAGTGGACTGTATCTAGAAGCAATTTTAGGAAAAGGGCAGTTAAGAGAGTGAATCGAGTATTTGAGGATGAAGAAGCTGAAGCTGGCAGTAGTGAGCAACTTCCCGAAGCTGCCTTCAATGAGCAGGATAACTCCAGCGATTGTGGTGAAATGGTGTTTGGGGATATTGAATCAGACTATTCCTCAAACTATGATACAGAGAGCGAAAGTGAAGGAATGAGTGATGATGATTGTGATGAGCATCCTTGTGATTTGGCAACATCTCTGAGAAACTGGGCAACACAATATGGTGTGTCACTGATTGCTTTGTCAGCTCTGTTGACAATATTGAAACCACATCACCCTTTTTTGCCTCTGGATGGGCAGGTCACTGCTTAGAACACAAATTAACCATAGAGTTGTTTCCCTGGCTGGTGGATCTTTCTACTACTTTGGCATAGAGAAACATGTTCAACAAAATGTTTCAGAAGCTCACCATAGTTGTTCCAAACAATTACACATTTAAATTGCAGCTAAACATGGATGGCTCCCACTATTTAAAAGTGGCCAATTTTAGGCACTCTTTTGGGTTACACCCATTCATCCATTGTTAATTGGTATTTTTTCTGGTGTCTCAAAACCAAAATCATTGACAGATTATTTGAAGGATTTAGTGTTGGAGTTAAAGTCACTCAGCCAAGGATTTGTTGTTCAGGGCAAGACATTCTTTTTGACTGTGGGCTCAATCATTTGTGATGCCCCAGCAAGAGCTTTCATAAAGGGAATAAAGCCACACAACGCATACAGTGGTTGTGACAAGTGTGAACAGCAAGGTGTGTATATTTGTCATCGTATGACTTTCCCAGAGACACAGGCTAAAATTAAGAACTGACCACTCTTTTATGCATGGATTAGATGAGGACCATCATGTTCAACCATCCCCATTATGTGATGCATCGGTTTCCCATGGTCAGTGGATTTCCACATGACTACATGCACCTAGTGTGTCTTGGGGTAGTGCGTTGTTTGCTTGATTTGTGGATGGGGAGTTCGGGCAAGTTGGCATATAGAATTCCATCTAGGCAAGTTTCAGTCCTTTCTCAAAAACTGGTTGCTCTCAAAGGAAATGTGCCTACTGAATTTGCACGACGGCCAAGGTCATTTGAACATAGACTACGATGGAAGGCGACTGAACTAAGACAGTTCCTCTTGTACACTGGTCCAGTGATCCTCAAGGATGTTCTTGCATCTGCAGTGTATCACAACTTCATGCTTTTGTCAGTGCTATATACATTTTGGCAAGTCCTTCATATTGTTTACTTCTAAATGACTTTGCCAAAACATTACTTGTTGCCTTTGTCAATCATTTTGGAGAACTGTATGGTGCAGAATTTATTGTGTACAATGTTCATGGTCTGATTCATTTGAGCGATGATGTTAAGGCACATGGGAACTTGGATCTAATATCTGGGTTTTCCATACAAAAATCATCTGCAAAAAATAAAGAGAAATGGTAACGGAAACCTTCGCATCCTTTGCAGCAGGTAATCCGGCGCATTTCTGAACTGAATTATACAGATGTCAAAAGCCTAAAGAAAAAGACAACACACAAGATGAAAAAGCAGCACTTGGAGGGGCCAATGCCAGGTGGAATGGCTGGGACTGTTTCACAGTTCAAAGAAGTATTCCTTGGTGATATTAAAGTTAGCCTAGCAGAGAGGGACAACTGCATCAAGTTGGATAAAAACATATTGTGTTGTTAAGAACATAATTGTCTGTGATTCAAATGAATATATACTTTGCTATAAATATCAACAGTTGCATTCATTCTTTGATTATCCTCTGGACTCAAGAGAGTTGGGAATTTATCTTGTCCCACCACCCCCACCACCCACCCCCCCCACAACCCCAACACCCCCCACCCACACCCCACCCCCACCCACACCCCCCCCCACCACAACCACCCCACCCCACCACACCCCCACACCCCCCCCACCCCCACACAACCAACCCCACCCACCCCCCCAACACCACCACACCCCACCCACCAACCCCACCAACCCACCCCAACACCCCACCCCACAACCCCCACCCCAACACCACAACACCACCAACCCACACCCCCCCACCCCACCCACCCACCACCCACCCAACCCCCCCCACCCACCAACCACCCCCCCCAACCACCCCCACCACCCACCCCACCAACCCCCAAACACCCCCACACCACCACCCACCCCCCCCCACCCCACCCACCACAAACCACCACACCCCACCCCCACCCCACCCCACCACCCCCCCAACCCACCACCCACCCACACCCCACACCAACCCACACACCCACACCCCACCCCCACCAACCCCCCACACCCACCCCCCACCCCCACCCACACACCCACACCACCCCACCAACCACACACCCCACCCACCCCCAACCCAACCCACCCACCCACACCCCACCCCAAACCCCCCACCCCCACCCCAACCCACCCCCCCACCCCAACCAACCCACCACCCCCACCACCCCCAACACCCCCCAACCCCCCCCACCCCCCCCACACCAACCACCACCCCCACCCCCCACCCCCAACCAACACCCCCACCCCCACCACACCAACCCCCCACACCCCCCAACCCACACCACACCAACCACCCCCAACCCACCAACCCCAACACCCCCAAACACACCACAACCACAAAACCACCCCCCAACCCCACCCACACCCCCACCCCCCCAACCACCACCACCCCACCACCCACCCACCCCCACCAACCCCCCAACCACCCCCCCCCCCCAACCCCCAACCAACCCACCCCCACCCCCACACACACCACCCCCCCCACCCCCCCACAACCACCCCACCCCCACCCCCCACCCCAACACACACCCAAACAACCCACCTATACCCCCAAACCCACCCCAAACCACCTATCACAAACCACCCCCCCCCACCCCAAAACACCCAATAACCAACCCACACACCATAACAAACAAAACCAATACAACCATAACCCCCAACAACCCATCAACCAAACCCCTATCCCCCACATCCACAACACCCACCCCCCCACCCTCACATACCAACCACCCCACAACAACCCACCCCTAACCATCCAATACATCACCCTCACCACAAACATCAACCCCCAAACCAACCTAACACCCCCCCTTACCTCCCAACACCCTCCCCAATACCCCACCAAACCAAAAACCACACACAACAACCCCACAATAACAACCACACCCCAACCACCCAAACCACACCAACCACATTCACAAACCCACCCCATAACCCAAAATCCCCCCCACACACCACCCACCATAAAACATACAACCAAAACCACACCCCCAATACCAACATACCCTCACCCCCAAACAACCACTACCCCCTATACCCTATTCCACACAACCCTCTAAATCCAATCCCACCACCTCACACTAAACACCCTATACACACCCACACCACAACAATACAACAATCCAACACCCTTCTCCCATATACTCATCTCTCTTTACCACCTCCTCCTTTTAATTAATAATATATCTAAACATTCACCATATTTAATCACAACAAACCATATTTTTTTTATCAACGTAAATAATCCTTAGCCAGAAATAATTCCCCACAAATCCCCAACAAACGTATTTACAAGTCTCCACTCTTACACCTTGCAACATTATGATGATTTAGTGCCTGTACAATAAAAACATGGCATTGAAAAATGAAAACCCAAAACACATTAATTACACCCCAACACTTTTTGATTTAAATTTATAAAGAAAGCCCATCAATCTTGCTGACGTTGCTAGAGGGACAATGTCTTTCTGTTTGAATTTGACATAGACAAGCGCAACCCTGTTAACCCGGCACCTGAGGTTAAACCCATCAAAGGTCTATGCCTCCAACCTTCTTGGGCGAAACACTCTTTCTCCCTCGCCTGGTTTGTCTTTGTGTATACATGTGCTGTCATAAAAACTAGTCATCTTGGTGATTCAGAGTCAAGCAGGAAACTGTGTTTGTTTCAGTCCCAACCTGAGGATTCTAAGAGAGATAACTTCATAGGTGTACAGCTGTCCAGATGAATTATATAAAAAAAGATGGGGGGAAGACGGAAGACAAAGATAAAAAATGAAACGGGAAATACCAAGTTCACCAAAATGTGTTGAAAAAACACCTAATGGAAAGGCTATTGCTAACGTTTTGACCACTGTATAGAAATGTGTATTTAGGGACTTGGGGGTGATGGGGGAAAAAATTGAAACCTGTGACAATTCTTAGATTTTACATCAAGTCCACTACAAGTGAAAAAAACGCTGTACTCCTGAGGCCCTTTTCCCTGAAGCAGTTTGTCTCGGTCCTATCTATTGCTTCAGTAATCACAGCTGTAAGATATGTAAAACAACAAAAACTAAGAAAACAAGAGAAGAAAGCAAACAACGATCTGATATGTCAGCTACAGCCATAATCATTATACTGATTATGTGATCGATGTCAATATTAGAAGATGGAGTATATAAGTTACATCAAATAATGCGCACGCGTCAGCCCAGGTGCGGGCGCTCTGTGAGCGCTGGCAATCTGCGTCCCTCCTCCTAGCGTCGTGTATCGCCACTTTCCAAGCCCAGACGCTGGAACACACACATCACTCGTAGAGCCCGTGAGATCAGGTGATCTGAAAAGCTACATTAGCGGTGGTCGGGGGAGCCGTCTCTGGCCCGTGCTCGGGCCACTTGTGTTTGATGTGCGTAAAGATCTGGTAAATATATGGCCCTAATGAGGTTCAGATGTGGGCCACATCTGGCATACGAGTTAGAATCATGCTATCGCCGGACATCCACGCGGTATGTGGGCCACATCAACACCTGTGTTGTGGGCCACATCTGGGCCACAACAATTTTGCTATCTGGGTTCTGTGTGGAGTTTGCATATTCTCTATGTCTGCGCAGGTTTCCTCTGGGTGCTCCTGTTTCTCATACCACAAAAAATTTGTACAATAGGTCTGGCATGCGGCTTCTGCATGGCGACCCCCTCTCCCATCTCTGTGTGGAGTGAGAAACAAACGCTCCCACAACAATTGAAAAGCGCTTTGTGACTCTGGTTTGTGAAAGGCGCTATATAAATAAAGATTACTTACTTCCTTAGCCGGTGAAAGCCAAAGCTAAGCAGGGCAGGTCCTGGTTAGTACTGTGTGGTTGTGTCAAGAGACTTCACCCACATTGCTTAGAAACTCCTCTTCAGGCCCAACACAGTGACTTGACTTTTCTTATCAGCTGATTTTAGTGCATGAGTTTCCACAGATCTCACCTGTGTCTATATCAGTGTCACCTGCTTTTTATTTTCCTTTATTCAACCTGGAACGATTCACTGAGATCTCAATATGTATTCAGAACCTGGGGACTGCTGGCTTCAAAGAGGAGAAACCTATTGTGCATGTGTTAGTGGGGAATATGTAACCACAGGGAGAACTTGCAAATTCCACACAAAAAGACCCTACACTCCCAGGAGTCAAACCATGACTTCTCGCAGTGAGCCTGAGAGCATTATCAAACATTACCGAGCCACTGTGTTGCCTTTTCAGTCATTCCCCAGAAAAGTGTCATTGTCAAGCCCCAATACAGTACATTATGCACATTTATTAACATTTACGGACATTGGTCATGCTGCCCCCAATGGACCACTGGCTCCTGTGTTTGCTATTATTACATTTTTTGTGTTTGAACGGTTTGATTCTGTGATCTGTTGTTGGCAAAGCAAAATCGTTGTATAGTCCTCTGACACGACTTCTGTTGTGATTTAGGGCTGTACAATAATACATGGAATTGAATTGAATACAAAACACATTATTTCACCAAACCTTTTGATTTACATTTTAAAGAAAGCATCAATTTGAGTTGAGGACAATGTATTTTGTTGGAATATGACAATAGAAAGGTAAGTTAGGCACATGAGTTAACTCATCTTTGAATGTCCAGTATTTTCTTTGAGGACCTGATCCGATTGGACCATCCCAGCTCCAACTGTTGCACCTGTCTCTTTAAAGCAGCTTCAGAGACTTTGAAGGGGAATCGGCGTAAACAGCACAGGCTTAGAGGACGGAGGGAGGGTTTGAAGAGGGTTATACTTGTGATGCACGCAGCATCTTAAAGTCTTACTGACACTTTGCAAAGTTAAAAGGGCACACAACACCTGTACACAGACTGCAGCTGAGCTGTGATCACGGCAGCAGTGTTGGAGAGCTTCGGGAAGAGGGTGCAAACACACTGTTGTGCGTTTGATCTCAACATTGCACAGTCGTCAGTTTTAGTTGAGATCTTCAGGGATTGTATTATTTTCATGCATTCTAAGTTTAATTTATTATCACTTGCATATTTTCGCTTGAACCAAAGCAACTCACGTTTAATAAAGTGGTGAAGGGCAGATTACAATTCTTATGTCGTAACTATGGTAACTGTCAATAGACAGCCTTAGTCCATCCATGCCAGGGGGACATGGTCACACCATCACATGTCACCGCTGACAAAGTCTACCACACAAACATGTGGTAATTAAGCAGTAGTAACTTTCTAAGCCTGATAGAACGAGAAGACACTGGAGACACTCGTCACATGTGCCTCTATAGCTCTGTATGAGGCTTTCCAGCGCACATGTCCTTACACACACATCTCCATCCTGACAGTGGACTCTCTGTGCTCGATAACAAACGACTGAAAAATGACAGCACTCGCTCAAATATTTAAGCTTTTGAGGAGATCCGGAGAAGGTCAGCGCGCCCTGATCCCTCCGATCTCCAAACGCACAATGGCAGCTTTTGATTATAACTTTTTCAACGCCAGTTGACGAAGAAATGGCGTCGCTGTCTCCTTTGCCTCGTGCATTACTCAACAGACCCGTGGTGTGCATGGCTCTATATAGGTGCATGTTTTTGGAGTTCAAGAGTGGAGTCAGTTGACCCCTGATTAGTCGTGGCGTATAGACTCTCGTGAGCGCGTGTCCCGGAGATAATAGAGGATCATGATGTAGAGTCGCTGGGAAGTCATTAGTTGGCCCCTCGGAGCCCAAATTTGACCGGTCTCCTCGGATCTCGGGTTTCCTCTGGCCGTAAGTCGGAATGTGAGTGGTGCAGAGTGAGACAAAAGGGGAATCTATGCAGGTGCACTCAAAGCACGATAGATAACTGAGTGACTTGGAGAGCGAAAGGTATTCTGCCAGTCCATCTGTCAATAGCATGTCACAACAAGGGTAATTGAAGAGACCTCAACCCATTCTCTTCTTTCTGAGAGAAAAATACACAATACATGGGGAGTTTCTTTATGTTTTATTGTCTGTTTTCAATGCCACATCCAATTATTCCAATTGGATGCCAAATTGAGCCTCCAGGATGTTGGTCATGGAATGCCTTGTTGATGACACAAAAGGAGCCCAGAAAGGGATTTTATCTTTACTTTTAATGTACCGATGTGAATTGGATGCAGCTCTGACTTTCACCCCCTCAACTCAGAAATGGAAATGGATGTATGGATAGAGCACTTTGCCTTAATATGTGGTAATAACAAGAGTAGAAGATAGCATCTTTCTTCCAGACATGAGGTGAAGCAAACAGCCAATCAGAACACAGCTTTTGAATTTGTACAAAAGATAGGATGTGATATTATAATGATGCATTGCAGTGACATTTTGTTAACAAGTGCTGGTTTTAGAATAAACTCTGAAAACACAACTTCACACACACCTGAATATGTCTTGACAGATACTGGAATCAGGTCAGGTAATGGTTGAGATGTGTGGAGAGCAGAGTTGGGAAAGTTACTTTGAAAAACTAAGTAGTAACAAATTACTATTTACTTCTAAAGAAAAAAGTAATTAATTACATTGCCTAGTTACTTCTGCATGAAAGTAACTATGTTAAATTACTTTTGAATTACTTTTGAATTACAAAATTAAAGTAATTTAAATAAAGGTGCTCAGTGGTGCATGGGACACATAGAATGTAAAATTAGCAGAACTCGCCCATATTTGGGCATCATCTGGCCCTCCCAGTTCTACTTTAAGAAGAAAAAGTTCAGGATGACAAGGGACACTAAAATCCCCACAAAATCCGACCTTTGTGAAAGCTGTAGGTTCTCTGTCAGAGGAGGTCGAGCTGTTTTAGTTTACATTGAGTTCTATGGGGAACATTTCTGGGTAGCCCACATGAATTTAGTCTCGTTTAGTCAAATGGGTCCTTCAGCTACAAGCTAGTAATACTCACGAGTCAACAAGAGAAAAGTCACAACACTCCCGGTTTAAATGTAATGACATCACTTTTTTTGCGGATGTAATCCC